CTCTGGGACCTGTTCATTTATCTTTATCAACTGTCGGTCAGGGAGGTCCTGCCGTGGTTCCTCTCACACCTTAAACAGAGCCCCCCTGTCGGAGGGACTCAGGAGTCATTTCCCGAAGCCTCTCACCTTGCAGATGGAGAGTCTGGGGTTATGTGGCTCACCATAGCCACATCACACAGCTTTGGGGCGGGACTGGGCTCTTCGAAATAATCATGTAATTTATTTTTAGCTGCTTAAAAGTAAGAGACGCTAGGGACTGTGCACGGAGCTACAATAACCATGGACCACTTATTGTTATCGTATGTTTCGGGGTTCCCGGTGCGAGCGGTTGTACTTAACCAAAGCAGGCTTGGAATGATTTATCCCAATACCTCAGTGAACATCAGGACATGGCTCACACTGGCACATGAGCCGGGCAAGGCTTGCAGAGGATGCCTGTGTGCCTGCCTTCCCAGGATGGAGTTTCAGAGACTTCCCTCGGGCTCTGTTGCTTCTCAGGACACATCCCAACAGGTCAGCTGCATTTCCGTGATGCCATGGCTCAGGGACTCAACGGAGTATCTAAGTACAGTCACCAATGTCCTCTCTGTGTCTTGGTTTCCTCATCCCTAAATAAGAGACTGCTCCAACTATTGCTCACCCCTTGAATTCTGTGCTTCTAGAAAGAGCAACCTCCACTCAAGGCACGAGCAAAGGAGGGCAATGCCTGGGGTCGACTTGGGGACGAGGAAGAATGATGGAAACTCATAGGTATTCTCTGTGCTTTCCTTGAGTGTTCCACTCAGTCTATGCAGCCACTCTGGGATGTGCACATGGCTGTCTCTGTTTTACAACGGAGGATAGTGAGGCACGGAGCAGTTAAATGATATGCCCAGGTCAGGGAACCAGCAGGTGCTTACCAGGAGGAGTGGGAACTGCCTCCGGTGTGGGTTCAGTTTCACATGAATGGAAACTGCACATGCTCAGCTCAAGCCATGGCTTTTGGTCCGGGAAAGTCTAATGGGATGGCAAACACTGGACATGGTGAGCCCTCTGCCTAGGACAGGGCCAGCACACATCCCTCCTTGGGGTTATTTACGCTAGAACCTTAGTGAATGCCCAGACGTGACTCACACCGGAGCATGAGCCCAGTGAGGCCTGCAGAGGAGGCCTGTGAAAGTACTGGACACGGCGAGCCCCCATCTTGCTGCACCAGCTTAGGCCACAGAAACTGAGCCCAGTGCCTAAGACTCAACCTCAGGTTGTTACTTTCTGTCCGACCCTGGTTTCTGAAACAGGCCTCCAAGTGGAAGAGATCAGCAATTTCTTTCCTTCTTCTTCTTCTTCGTTTTTTTTTTTTTTTTTTTTTGCTGAGGCAGAGTTTCTCTCTGTTGCCCAAGCTAGAGTGCAGTGGCACAGTCATACCTCACTGTGGCCTCAAACTCCTGGGCTCAGGTGACCCTCTTCCCTTGGCCTCCCAAGTAGCTGGGACTATAGGGACACACCACCATGCTAGGCTTATTTTTTATTTTTTTAATTTTTATTTATTTTCTATTTTAAAAAATTTTAATGTAAAGATTTGGGATACAATTCAGGGTTAGGTATACAAACATGGATCGTGCAGGTACCCCTGTTAATGAGGTATGCCCCTCCCTGCCCTAGCAGGCTTATTTATTTTTATTTTTATTTTTCTTTGTAGAAGCAAGGTCTTGCTTTGTTGCCCACACTGGCCTCTAGCCATCCTCTCGCCAGAATCTCCTAAGGTGAGCCCCTGTGCCTGGCCAAGGGTAGCGATTTCTGAGGGACACCAGGGAGAGGGGACAACGACAAAGGCCACCCAACTACAGCTTCATGTGCCAAGAAGCCTCCAGCAGCCGACAGGGTCACACCACCCAGTGGATGGACACCTGGAACGTTCAGGATTTGTCAGCCTCCAAGGACGGTCAGCAGCACCAGCAAACCCATTGTACATGCCTGCCCAAGTCCTCTTCCATTCTCAAGGCTTCTCACTCATCAACCTACAGATGTCCCTCTTCATCTCTCTGCAGGTCACCCTGTCAGAGTGAAAGCCACAGCTTCCTGGCAGGAATCCCCAGCATCCTACCACCAGCGTGCCCCCTAGAGTGTGCGCATCCCAGGAGTCTCCTCCTTCTCTTTGCAACAGAAGCTGGTCCTCGCTGTGTATCAAGGACCAAGACCAGTACTTCACTTAGAGCTAAGATCCCAGTTCCTCAAATTTTTTATCAATCGCTCTGTCTCTCAGTGCTTCATCCTCCCAGAAGCATTTGACACATCTGATGCAGTGCCTTCATGAGACTTTCTCTACCCTCAGAGAAGGGGTCCCCAGGCCTTCTTTTTCCCTCCTCTCTCTTTGACCCCCACCCTTGGGATCATTTTGCAGGAACATCTTCCTCTGACTTAGCAGTTTTCAAACATTTTGGTTTCAAGGCCCCGTTACGCTCTTAAAAATTATCAAAGACCCCCAAAGGGTATATTGTATTGGAGATTAAAGCAGAAACATCTAAAACATGTTTATTAATTTATTTAAAAGTAACAATGATAAATCCATTACATAACATTTTTATACAAATGACGACATTTTCCAAGCCAAAAAAATATTAGTGAGAGATGTGGCATTGATTTATATTTTTACAAATGTCTGGCTTAAAACAAGATAGCTGAATTCTTCTATGTGCTTCTGTATGTAATCTTTTTTTTTCCAAACAGCTATTACTCTTGCATTTAATAGAATTTGCCAATTTAAATTGCATAATAGGATGGTGTTTAGTGTATTCTGTCTACAGAGTTTCATGATCATCACCATAGCCAATTTTAGAGAATTTTTATCCTCCCCAAAGAAGCTCTGCCATTCATTCCTTCTTATTCCTCCCAGCCTACCTAACCCTTTCATATGAATAGAATCTTACCATATGTAGTCTTTTGTTTCTGGCTTCTTTCACTTAGAATACTGCTTTCAAGGTTTATCCATGCTGCTGTTCGTTTCTTTTTATTACTCAATAATATACCACGTTTTGTTTATTCATTTTTCAGTTGATGACATTTGAGTTTTCTCCACTCTATGGCTGCTATGAATACAGTAGTCCCCATCTACGATTTCACTTTCTGTGGTTTCTATTACCCATGGCCAGCCATAGTCCAAAAATGTTAAATGGAAAACTCCAGAAGTAAACAATTCATATATTTTCAATTGCGTGCCATTCTGAGTAGTGTGATAACATCTTGCTCCATCCTGCTCCAGCCAGCCAGGGATATGAGTCATCCCTTTGCCTAGCAGATCTGCCCTCTGTATGCTACCGCCCATTCATCACTTTGTAGCCGTTGGGGTTACCAGATCAAAAAACATAATCTATATAGGGTTTGGTACTAATCTTGGTGTCAGTCATCCACGGGGGGGGGGTGTCTCAGAAAGTATCCTCTGTGGGCAAGTGGACACTACTTTAGTGCTATTATGAAGATTCACGTACGGGTTTTTGTGTGGGCATTTTTTTTTACTTCTCTTGGTTATATACTTGGGAGTGGCATTACTAGGTCATGTGAGAACTCTATGCTTGACATATCGAGGTGCTGCCAAACCATCTTCCAAAGTGGCTGCACATTTCACGTTGCCACCAGCCGTATGTGAGAATTGTAATTTCTTCACATCCTTGTTGACACTTGTTATAATCTACCTTTTTGATTACAGCATCCTAGTGGCTTTGAAGCAGTACCCCACTGCAGTTTTGACTTGCATTATCCTATGGCTATAAATATTGAACTTCTTTGGATGTGCTTATTGGTGACTTGTGTATCTTCTTTAGCAAAATGTCTATTTAGGTTTTTCATTTTTAATTGGGTTATTTGTTTTTTACTTTTATCATTGTAAGAGTTCTTCATATCTTCTGCATGCCTGTCCCTTACCAGATTCACAAATATTTTCATTCTGTGGATTTTTTTTTCTCATTTCCTTGATGATGTCCTCTGAAACACAAAAGTTTAAAATTTTGATGAAGTCCCAGTTATCTATGTTTCATTGTTGATGTTTGTGTTTTTGCTGTCATAGCTAAGAACACATTTCCTACTTTATGGTCATGAAAGTTTTCTCCTTTGTTTTCTTCTAAGAGTTTTATAATCTGAACTTTTACAATTGTTGCTGCAATTCATTTTGAATTAATTTTTGTATATGGTATGAGGTAGGGGCCCGACTTCATACTTTTGCTTGTGGACATCCAGTTGTCCCAGCACCATTGGTAAAAGACGACTTTTTCCCCCATTGAATTGTCTTAGGATCCTTGTTGAATCAATTGACCATAGATGTGAGGGTTTATTTCTAGACTCTCAATTTGATTTCATGACATATATATCTGTCTTTATGCCAGTACCATGCTCTATTTTTTACTGTAGCTTAACGATATGTTTTGAATCAAAGTGTGAGTTCTTCAACTTGTTTTTTTTTTGAGTTGGAGTCTCACTCTGTCGCCCAGGCTGGAGTGCAGTGGCCGCTCCCAGCCATCTTCCGCCTCAGCCTTCCAAGTAGCTGGAACTACAGGTGCGCGCTTCCACACCCGGCTTATCTTTTGAATTGTTGTAAAGATGAGGTCTCACCAAGTTGGTTTTTTTTTTTTGAGATCGATTAGATTATTATGGGCCTGTTGCATTTACAAATGAATGTAAGGACCAGCTTGTCAGTTTATGCAAAAAAAGCAGCTGGGATATTTATAGAATTTGTGTTGAATCTATAGGTTAATCTGAGGAGTGTTATCATTTAATAATATTATGTTTTTCAATGCGTGAACATGAGGCAATTTTCCATTTATTTAGATCTCTTTCATTTCTTTCAACTGTGTTTTGTAGCCTTTAGGGTACATGTTTTGTACTATTGTTAAATTTTTTTTCTGAGTATTTTCATACTATTATAAATAGATTTGCTTTTTTAACTTATCGTCAGATTGCTCATTGCTAGCATAGAAAAGAAAAGAAAATTTTTGTATATTAATTTTGTATCTTGACGCGACCTCATCCTTGTCAGTGCACAAAATGTCACCTTACAGCCTACTGGTGACCCAGCTGCAGAAAGCCCTGGGTGTGCGGCAGTACCATGTGGCCTCAGTCCTGTGCCAATGGGCCAAGGTGGCCATGAGCCACTTTGAGCCCAGTGAGTACAGCCACTATGACCTGCTGGAGAAGAACATTAACACTGCCAGGCTCGGTGGGTCAGCCTGTAATCCCGTGCCTTTGGGAGGCTGAGGTGAGTGGATTGCCTGAGCCCGTGGGTTCGAGACCCGACTGGGCAGCGAGACCTCATCTCTACAATAAATCAAAAAATCAGGTGGGTGTGGTAGCGCATGCCTGTAATTCCGGCTACTTGGAAGGCTGAGGCGGAAGGATCGCCGGAACCCAGCAGGTTGAGGTGGCCGGGAGCGGCCACTGCACTCCAGTCTGGGCGACGGAGTGAGACTCCAACTCAAATAAAAAAAAAAAAAGAACATTAACATTGTTCGCAGACGATTGAATTGGCCTCTGACTCTCTTGGAGAAGATTTTGTATGGACACCTAGATGACCCAGCCAACCAGGAAAATGAGCAGGGCAAGACATACCTGTGGCTGGGGCCAGACTGCATGGTCATGCAGGATGCCACGGTCCAGATGGTCATGCTTCAATTTATCAGCAGTGGGCTCTCCAAGGTGGCTGTGCCGTCCACCATCCACTGTAACCATCTGATTGAGGCCCAGGTCGGGGGAGAGAAAGACCTGCGCAGGGCCAAGGACATCAACCAGGAAGTGTATAATTTCCTGGCAACTGCAGGTACCAAGTATGGTGTTGGTTTCTGGAAGCCTGGATCTGGAATCATTCACCAGATTATTCTGGAAAACTATGCATACCCTGGCGTTCTTCTGATTGGCACTGACTCCCACACCCCCAATGGTGGTGGCCTGGGGGGCATCTGCATTGGAGTTGGGGTGCTGATACAGTGGACATCATGGCTGGGATGCCCTGGAAGCTGAAGTGCCCCAAGGTGATCGGTGTGAAGCTGATAGGCTCCCTCTCTGGTTGGAGCTCACCCAAAGATGTGATCCTGAAGGGGGCAGTCATCCTCACAGTGAAAGGTAGCACAGGTGCTATCGTGGAACACCATGGACCTGGAGCTGACTCCACTGCCTGCACTGGCATGGCCATAATCTGCAACATGGGTGCAGAAATCGGGCCACCACTTCTGTGTTCCCTTACAACCACAGGATGAAGAAATACCTGAGCAAGACTGGCTGGGCAGATATTGCCAATCTAGTTGGTGAATTCTCACTTGGTGCCTGATCCTGGCTGCCATTACAACTAACTAACTGAAATTAACCTCAATGAGCTGAAGTCGCACATCAATGGGACTTTCACCCCTGACTTGGCTCACCCTGTGGCAGAAGTGAGCATGGTGGCAGAGAAGGAAGGATGGCCTCTGGACATCTGAATGGGTCTGATTGGCAGCTGTACCAATTCGAGCTATGAGGACATGGGGCACTCGGCAGCTGTGGCCAAGCAGGCAATGGCCCATGGCCTCAAGTGCAAGTCTCAGTTCACCATCACTCCAGGCTCTGAGCAGATCCATGCCACCATTGAGTGAGATGGCTACTCACAGATCCTGAGGGATGTGAGTGGCATCGTCCTGGCCAACACTTGTGGCCCCTGCATTGGCCAGTGGGACAGAAAGGATATCAAGAAGGGGGAGAAGAACACGCTCGTCACCTCTTACAACAGGAACTTCACAGGCCGCAATGATGCAAACCCTGAGACCCATGACTTTGTCACATCCCCAGAGATCGTCACAGCCCTGGCCATTGCAGGAACCCTCAAATTCAACCCCGAGACTGACTTCCTCACAAGCAAGGATGGAAAGAAGTTCAAGCTGGAGGCTCCGGATGCAGATGAGCTTTCCAAAGTGGAGTTCAACCCAGGGCAGAATACCTATCGACACCCTCCCAAGGACAGCAGCAGGCAACGCGTGGACGTGAGCCCCACCAGCCAGCGCCTGCTGCTCCTGGAGCCTTTCGACAGGTGGGATGACAAAGACCTGGAGGAACTGCAGATCCTCATCAGGGTCAAAGGAAAGTATACCCCTGACCACGTCTCAGCTGCTGGTCCCTGGCTGAAGTTCCATGGGCACCTGGACAACATCTCCAACAACCTGCTCATTGGTGCCACCGACAATGAAAATGGCAAGACCAACTCTGTGTGCAATGCTGCCACCCAGGAGTTTGGCCCTGTCTCTGACACTGCCTGCTACTACAAGAATCAAGGCATCAGTGGGTGGTGATTGGCAATGAGAACTATGGTGAGGGCTCCAGCCGGGAGCACGCAGCTCTGGAGCCTCGCCACCTTGGGGGCCGGGCCTTCATCACCAAGAGCTTCACCAGGATCCATGAAACCAACCTGAAGAAGCAGGGCCTGCTGTCCTGCTGACCCAGCCGACTATAAGAAGATTCACCCTGTGGAAAAACTGACCATTCAGTATCTGAAGGACTTTGCCAGGAAACCATCCTCCTGAACCACACCTTCAACAAGACCCAGATTGAGTGGTTCTGTGCCAGCAGTGCTCTGAACAGAATGAAAGGAGCTACAGTAGTAAGGGCCACACTTCAACCCTGCCCGCCCCTCCGACGCAGCGCTGGTGTCATTTACAAGCGCAGCTCCCAGTGCACCATCACAGCCAGATCTGATCCATCCAGCCGTGGCTTCTTACTCCAAGGTGGTGTAACCAGACATGCTTCCTGCCCTCCCTGTTCATCCCAGAAAGTGACAGTTGGGGCAGTTCTTAAAAGAATTTTTTAGCCCCTGCTTTTCTGTTTTTAGTTTGGTTCAGATCTTGAGCAGCTCCATGCAACTGTATTTATTTTCGATGACAAGACTCCCACCTAAAGAAATTTTTCTCCTGCCTGATCATTTCACTTATGACTGAAGGATTTTAGAGAAACTTTTTTTCTTGCAAGGAAAATAAGAATCCAAATTCAGTGACTGTAAAAAAAAAATTTGTATCCTGCAAATTTGCTGAACTTGTTTATTAGTTCTAATACTTTTTTAGTGGATTCATTAGTATTTTCTACATACAAGATTATGTCATCTTTGAAAAGAAATAGTTTTACTTGTTTTCAAATCTGGATGGTTTTTATTCCTTTTTCTTGCCTAATTGCCCTGGCTGGAACCTCCAGTACAATGTTGAATAGAAGTAGTGAGAATGAATGTCTTTGTCTTGTTCCTGATTTTAGAGAAAAAGCATTCAGTCTGTCATAATTAAGTATGATGTTAGGGGTGGGTGTTTTGTAGATGCTCTTTATTCAGTTGAGGAATTTCCCTTTTATTCTTATTTTGTTGGTGATTTTTATCATGAAAGGGTGTTACATTTTGTGATATGTGTTGTCTGTATTTAGTGAATTGATCATGTTGTTCTTTTTAATATTAATATATTGCATAACATTGATTGGTTTTCATATGATAGACCAACTTTGCATTTCTGAGATGTCTCACTTGCTAATGGAGTATAATCATTTTTATATGTTGCTGAGTTCTGTTTGCTAGTATTTTGTTGAGGATGTTTGCATTCTATTCATAAAAGATATTGGCCTATAGTTTTCTTGTGATTTTTTTTTTTTTTTTTGACTTTGGAATCAAGTTGATACTGGTCTCATAGAATTTGTTTTTGGACTAAAGTTTGAAATAACATTTTAAAAGCATTTTGTGAATAATCAATATGAATTTTTTTCAAAAATATTTGATAGAATTCACCACTGAAAATGGCTTAGACTGGGATTTTCTTTGCTGGAGGTTTGAAAATTACTGATTAAATTTGTTTACTTGTTATAGGCTTATTCCTATTTGATATTTCTTCTTGAGGCAGTTTTGGTAGTTTATGTTTTTCTAGAAATGTTCCCAGTTCATCTAAATTATCTAATTTTCTGCCATATAGTTGTTCAAAGTATTCCACATAATAATTTTCTTTAATTCTGCAAGATGGGTAGTGATGTCCCACTTTCATTCCTGATTTTAGCAATATGACCTACTGTTGATAGCAGACAGTTTTGTTAATTTATTCAAATGACTAATTTAGGTTTCTTAATTTCCTCCATTTTTTTCTATTCTATATTTAATTTATCTTTTATCTAATCTTCATTTTTTTCTGTTGCTTGTTTTAAGTTTAATTTTCTCTTTGTTTTCTAGTGTTTTAAGTTAGAATATCAGTGTAATATCTTTCTTCTTTATTTAGTATGGATGATTATAGCCCTAAATGTTCTTCCAAGTACTGCTTTACCTGTACCCCTGCTTTACTTGTACCCCTGTACCCCATATATTTTGGTCTGCTGTGTTTTTTACTCTCATTTATCTTGAAGAGTTCTCTAATGTCCCTTGATATTTCCCCTCCTCCTCCCCCTCTCCCTCTGCCTCCCTCCTCCTCGTCCTCCTCCTCCTCCTCCTCCTCTTCTTCTCACTCTGTTGCCCAAGATGGAGTGCAGTGGCACAATCACAGTTTACTGAACCTTTGGCCTCCTAAACTCAGGTGATCCTTCTGCCTCAGCCTTCAGAATAGCTGGGACTACAGGCACACGCCACCACAACCAGCTCATTTTCTTTCTTCCTTCCTTCTCTCTCTCTCTCCCTCCCTCCCTCCCTCCCTCTCTCCCTCCCTCCCTTCCCTCCTTCTTTCTTCCCTTCTTCCTTCCTTTCAAAACAAGTTCGAGCTATGTTGTCTAGGCTGGTCTTGGACCCCTGGGCTCAAACAATTCTCCCAATTTGGCCTTTCAAAGTGCTGGGGTTACAGACATGAGCTGATACACCTGGCCAGATTTCTTCATTTAGTCAGTTATTATTTAGGAGTATGTTGTTTAATTTCTGTGTATTTTAAAATTTGCAAAATTTTCTTTGTTATTTATTTCTAATTTTATTCCATTAATGTTGGAGAACTTGCTTTGTATGATGAACATCTGTTAACACTTATAATAAGGGACTTTTAATGGCCTCACATATTGTCTATCTTGAAGAATATGCCATATATGCTTAAATATAATATGTATTCTGGTGTTGTTGGGTGAAGTATTCTATAGATGTCTACTAGGTCTAGTTGTTTTATAGTGTGATTAAAGTCTTCTATTTGCCTATTAGTCTACCTAGTTGTTCCATTACTGAAAGTGGAGTATTAAAATCTCCAACTATTATTGTTGAATTGTCTATTTCTAGCTTTAGATCTGTTAGTTTTTGCTCTGTGTGTCTTTGGGTTCCTTGGTGATGCATGATAATTTGATAATTTTAATTTCATCCTGATGATATTGACCCTTTCATCATTGGAAAATGTCCCTTTTTAAAATTTTGATAATTTTTATATCATCCTGATGGATTGGCCCTTTCATCATTGTAACTCTTTTATGTGTAGTAGTGTTTGCTCCTGTTTTAAAATCTCTTTTTTTGATGTTGGTAAAGCTAATATCCAGATCTTTTATGGTTGTTTGCATGGTATATTTTTCCCATTCTTTTAACTTTCAACCTACTTATATCTTTGAATCTATGTTTATCTACAGTAGACAGAATCTATTTTTTTAAAAATCCATTTTGACAATCTCTATTTTTTATTGTATTATTAATCCACTTAAATTTTGTGTTAGTATTGATATGGTTGGATTTATGTCTATCATTTTGCTTTTAGTTTTTCATATATCAGATGTATTTTTGTGTTTCTTTGTTTCTCCTTTACAGCTTTCCATTGCACTAAGCTAATGTTTTCTGTAACATTTTTATGTTTGCCTCTGTGGAAAACAGTGTGGTGATTCCTAAAAGATCTAAAAATTGACCTCCCATACGACCCTGCAATCCTCCTACTGGGAACTCCATCACTCCTAGAAACTCAAATCACTCTATGAAAAAGATACCTGCACATGTATGTTTATTGCAGCATTATTCACAATAGCAAAAACATGGAATCAACCATGCTGCCCATTGAAAGAGGACTCGATCAAAAAAAAAAAGTGATACATATACATGATGGAATATTATGCAGCCATAAAGAAGGACAAAATTATGAACTTTGCAGCAACTTGAATGGACTTAGAGACTATAATACTGCGTGATCTATCACAGAAACAAAGAAGCAAGTATCACATGTTCTCACTCACATTTTTTTAATCCAGTCCCTCTTTGATAGGGAGCATGGTTGATTCCATGTTTTTGCCATTAATAACATTTAGCTTGAAACACAAACTCATTGTGCAACTGAACAAAAATATCATCTTTCTTTAGTTCCTTATTTTATAAGCTTGTTCTTACTAAAACTTTTTTAAAAAGTTTAAACCTTTAAAAAAAAGCGAAGTCACAAACAAACACATTAATTTAGACCTATACAGGGTCAGGATCATCAATATTACTGTCTGCTATTTGCCTGGAAGGTCCTCAGGGGCAATAACGTGCATGGAGCTATCATCTCCTATAGTAACAATGCCTTTCTCTGGAATACCTGGTGAAGGACCTGCCTGAGGTTATTTTACAGTTTACTTTTGTTTAAAAGTAGAAGTATATTCTAAAATAATGATAAAAATGATGGCATAATAAATACATAAACTAGTAATATAGTTGTTTACTATCAAGTATTTTGTTGTGTACATAATTGTATATTCTATAATTTTATATGACTGACAGTACAATATGTTTGTTTATACCAGTATCACCACAAACACATGGTCACCACATTACACTATGACGTTACTATATCACTGGGCAATAGGAACATTTCGATTCCATTTTAATCTTATGAGACCACTGTCATATATGTGATCTGTCACTGACAAAAAAGTCATTATGTGGCATATGACTTGAATTTTATGTCTTTTAAAGAAGCTGACAGAAGAAGAGAGAGCAAGTATACATATTTTTTGTTTTTATATTAATGTGACTATATATCATTTCTTGTTCTCTTAATTTATTCCTGCTATGATACATTATAATTGCTATAATACTGTGCTTATTAATGTTATATTATACAATTATTGTATTATGATGATATATACATCAGATGGATTCAAGTTACCATCTAGTATTATTTGTTTATTCTACTATTGCTTTACTATTACCTATTAACTTTGTGCTGTTCTTGTCAAATATATTGCATATCTATATGTTATAAACCCAATGATACAATTATAAACATATTATTTTGTATAATTGACTTTTAAATCAGTTAGGAGAAGAGAGAAGAAATATGTAATTGTGCTGTCTATTATACTTACATAATAATTTTTAGCAGTGTTCTTTTTTTAATGTGAATTTGAATTACCATCTGGTGCCAATTGTTTTTAGTTTGAAGAACTCTCTTCAGCATTTCTTGTAAGGTCGGTGTTCTAACAACAAATACTTCAGTTTTTATTTATCAAGAAATGCCTATTTCACTTTTATTTTGAAAAGATAGTTTTGCTAGATATAACAGTTTTGATTGACAGTGGCTTTTTGTCCCATCAGCACTTTAAATATGTCATCTGCTGCCTTTTGGTCTCCATTATTTCTAATGATAAATTATCTGCTAATCTTCTTGGAGTTTCCTTGTATGTGATGAGTCATTTTCCTCTTGCTAATTTCAATATTGTCTCTTTGTCTTTCAGCATTTTTGCTGTGATGTGTCTGTTTGATCTCTTTGCATGTGTCCCACTTGGTGATCAATAAATTTCTTAGATCTGTAGGTTAATATTGTTTTATCACATTTGAGAAGTTTTTAGTCATTATTTTGTCAATTTTTTCCTACTTCTTTCTCCCATTCCATTCTTCCTGGTATTCTCATGTGCATGTTGGTGTGTGGGCTT